CCCAGGAGGGAAAGAAGGGGTATCTTGAACCCAGAAGTGAGAGGCAAGCCCCAGCCCAACCCTAGCATGATGGAAGAGGGAATCAGGATCCTGGCTTTGCAGCATGGTCTTGGCCAGCCCTTCTTAGGATTGTTCTGTTTTCCCTCACCTCTCTTCCAGTGGCAGCTTGCGGGGACCTGCATCTCAGCTACCCTTGCCCAGCTTTGTTCCACCCCCCTTGATCCTGTTGCCTGGAAGAGGGACTCCTTGCTTTTTCTATGCCCTGACCTGTCCTCCCCTTCCTGGAACACAGGTGACCTTTCTCTCCCTGCCAGGCTATTGCCCCATGCCCTTTGAGCCTGGCCCAGGCTCACTGAGCCAGCTGCTGCTACACTGCAGTGCAGCAGCAGGGATAGGAGTGAGGAGGTGGCAAGCAGGACTGGCTCTGCACCTCACACCTGTGGGCTGCCCAGCTGGGCATAACTGCAGCCCTTCTAGCAGCCTTTGTTTCCCTGCCTCCATGGGAACTCCGAGCAAAGTTGATGTCCTTCCCCAAGCTGGGGAGCAAATAGGGGCAGACCCATAGGCCCAACCTTGTGCCACCTGGGCTCCCTCCAGGCACAGAGTACAAGTTCCCTGTCCACGGGCAGTGCTTGGAGCCTGCAGCACGCGGTGAGGGGATTTCGGAGGCTGCACTCTGGAGGAAAGGAGAGCCCTTTCCCTGGGCTAGTGAGAAAGAGAGGCTGGGCAGGAGTCCTCGCCGCATGTTGTGCTTGTGTCGTCGGTGTCCCCTGTGCATGGCGAGCCGCAATTCTTCATCTCCTTCCTGGGTGTGTGGGCATGGGGCGCCCAGGGAGGGTCGTGCTGCAGCCCTGTGCCCTCACTGTACAGCTGTCTTGCCATCCAATAAAGATGGGATGTGTTACCCGCCTCCCGTCCGAGTGTCACTGCAGCGCGGGGGGCAGCAGCGGGGCAGCGAGGGTGCGGGGCGCACCGGTGCCTCCGACATGAGGGTGGGAGGCGGCGAGGCGCCAAGCCGGCCGCGTTTATGGCTCCATTCCGTCGCCGGGTGCTCCTGGTGCCACGCGGGGTGGGGCAGAGCCACTGTGCCGCAGCGGCGAGGCCGCCTCGAAGTTCCTCGGATCGGTGCGGCTGAAGCAGGAGCAGATGAGCGCCCGTCGGGCCGGGGGCCAAAGGGAGCTATAAATACCGGCGGCGTTCCGTCCTGCCTGACCTCTACAGGGCGGCCGGGCTATCGCCGTGCTGCAGTCGCCCGGCTGCTCGCCGAGATAAGCTGCGCTGGGTCCGCTCCCCTTCGGCATCGCCCCACCTGGGGGCACCTCGGGGCCGGCAGCCGCGGGGCCGGGAGCTGCGCGGCCGGGGGGAGCTGCGCCGCCGGAGGACGGAGGGACGGCCGGGCCGCGGGGCGGGGAGCGGGGCGGGGAGCGGCGCGGGGCGGTGCCAGGGCCTGCGGGCGGCCCGGGGAGCGGTGCGCGGAGCGGCGCGGGGCAGGTGAGCGGGCGAGGGGGCTCGGGGAGCGGTGGGCGGCGGTCACGGGAACGGGAACGGGAACGGGAATGGGAACGCCGGCGCGGTCGGGACCGCGATGTGTTCAGGGAGAAGCCCCTGCACGTCGCTCCGCCGGTGCCGGCCCGGCGTGTCTCTGCGCTGCCCTGCCCTGCCCTGAGCCTTGCGTTTCCCCGTGTATTGCCGGCGCTACCCGGTGTGTTTCCTCGTGCGTTGCTCCATGCTTTATTCTGCGTTTTCCCCACTCGTTGCCCTGTATTACCCCTTGATTTCTCCCACGCAGTGTTCTGCCATTCCCCACGTGTCACCCCTACGTTCCCCGTGGCCCTCCCTCACACTCCCCGGGAGCATCCCCTTCCCAGAACAGTGCCTCTGTATCCCTGCAGCGGTGGCAGCGTTGAGCACTCGCTGACCCCACGTCCAAGTGCACGGGCTGGCCCGCTGCAGCCTCCGCACTCCCCACGCCCCCTAAAGTGATACCAGACCGCAGAGCTGACCCCAGCTGCTGCTCATGCCCTGCTGCACACAGGGGTCTGAATGTGCCCCACACAGCCATGTCCTGCGGTGTTCACCCCCACCACTGCCCTCTGCCTGGCCATGCTGTCCAGCCCTGCATCCCCCCTAGCAGCCCTCTGAGACCCCATCCTCTTCTCTCTGCAGCTACAGACCAGCCAGGATGGCATTGCTGGGGGGATACTGCGAGGCCAACAGCTCCATGGCCCAGGCCTGGGTGCAGCAGGGCTTCCAGCCCTGTTTCTTCTTCACGCTGGTGCCCGCTGTGCTGCTGAGCGTCTGCCTGCTGCTGGGTGCCCTGCAGTATGCCTGCTACGTCCGTTTTGGCCGTGCCATGGAGCCAAAATACATCCCTCGCTCACATCTTTACCACACCCAGGTCCTGCTGTCACTGCTGCTGGCCCTGCTGCCCCTTGGTGGGCTTCTCTGGCAGCTGGCCGGCCCAGGGAGGCTCTATGGGTACATGGTGCTGTATACCTGCCTCTGGGCTGCTGCCTGGGGCTGCGCCATTGCCCTCCTGCAGCTGGAGCACACACGGGTGCTGGCACACGACCGCACACGGGGCCACGGCACTGTCCTCCTCCTCTTCTGGGCGCTGGCCTTTGCTGCTGAGAACCTGACGCTGGTGTGCTGGAGGAGCCCATTGTGGTGGTGGGCGCTGCAGGACACCGACCAGAAGGTTAGTGGGCTGTGGGGGTGGTGAATTTTGGTGCTGACCTCCTCCTGGCACCTAGCATGTGCAGGTTGCACTGCGTGCCCATCACAGCTGAGCTGTGCTAGGATAACTGGTGGCGCTGACTCCCTCTCCCTGTCCAGGTGCAGTTCAGCCTCTGGCTGCTGCGCTATGTCTGCACCTTCACACTCTTCATCCTGGGCATGAAGGCGCCTGGGCTGCCCCACAAACCCTACATGCTGCTGGTCAACGAGGAGGAGCGGGATGTGGAGAACAGCCAGGTGAGTCCTGGGGCTGTCTGTAGAGGAGTGTACCTGGGGGCTGGGATGAGTTTCTCCAGGAGGTGGGTTCCCGGAGGTGACTGCTTGCCCTGCACTCCCCCAGCCACTGCTGCAGGATGCAGGCAGGACCAGCTCTACCTGGAAGGATTTCCGGAGGAAGTTGCGCCTGCTGGTGCCATACATGTGGCCGAAGGGCAACCGCCTGCTGCAGGGGCTGGTGCTGTTCTGCATGGCGCTCATGGGGCTGGAGCGAGCTATCAACGTCTTTGTCCCCATCTACTACAAGAATATTGGTGAGGGGCCTGGGGCTGGTCCGGGGAGGCTGTGCTGAAGGACCACAGCCCACTGCTTCACCATGTGTCCAGTGACCCCAGTGATGTGGGAGAGCACAGGAACCTGGCGGCAACAGGGTGCTGGGGCAGTGCCGGGTACAGAGGCTGGTCCTTAGAGGGCACCCGGCGGTGCTCTCTGCCCCAAACAACGCCATTCTCTTCTCAGTGAACGAGCTGACCGAGGGTGCTCCCTGGCACACCCTGGCCTGGACCGTTTGCATCTATGTGGGGCTGAAGCTCCTGCAGGGCGGAGGTGCTGGTAAGGATCACAGGGCATGTAGAGCCTCCTGCAGCGTCCCTCGGCTGGGATATTAAGGGAGGAAACCAGTCCCTGCTGACCATCCTGTGGCACTCCACAGGCTCCACGGGCTTCATCAGCAACCTGCGCACCTTCCTGTGGGTGTGGGTGCAACAGTTCACCAATCGGCAGGTGCAGGTGCAGCTCTTTGCCCACCTGCACGGCCTGTCCTTGCGCTGGCACCTGGGCCGCCGCACCGGTGAGGTGCTGCGCAGCGTGGACCGGGGCACCAGCAGCATCAACAGCCTGCTCAGGTCAGGGCATGTCTGCAGAGGGTCACCGTGCTCACCCCGGTGGGTTGACCTAATGCCACGTCCCCATCCTTCCTTCCAGTTACATCGTCTTCAGCATCGTCCCCACCATCGCGGACATCATCATCGGCATCGTGTACTTCACCTCCGTGTTCAGCGCGTGGTTTGGACTCATCATCTTTGTGTGCATGAGCCTCTACCTGAGTGAGTGAGGTCCTTGGGGTCCTGCAGGGCTGCCAGCATCCAATGACACACTGCTCCTCCTCAGCTCTCACCATCTTCATCACTGAGTGGAGGACCAAGTACCGGCGGGACATGAACACGCGAGACAACGAGGCCAAGTCCCGTGCTGTGGATTCGCTGCTCAACTTTGAGACAGTAATGATGGAGGGGTAGGGCTGGGTGCTGTTGTGAGCAAGGTGGATGCTGAGCCTGGCTCCGTGTCCCACAGGTGAAGTACTACAATGCAGAGAGCTACGAGGTGAACCGCTTCAACGATGCCATTGTCAAGTACCAGGTATGGGGGCTCAGTGCCTTCCTGGGGGAAGGAGCCTGGTAAGCACCGGTGGGGTGGATGGGGATGGAGGTGTCATGGAGGACCTCTCCCCTCCCAGCTTTCCGAGTGGAAGGTCAGCGCCTCGCTGGGTCTTCTCAACCAGACCCAGAACCTGGTCATCGGGCTGGGGCTTCTGGCGGGGTCTCTGCTCTGTGCCTTCTTTGTCACTGAGGGGAGGCTGCAGGTAAGGCTGTGCCAGCTGGGCAGCCCCTGCCTGGGGACAGCCCCAGTGCTGAATGTGACGGGCAAGTGTCCCCCGGCCCTTCTAGGTGGGGGATTTTGTCCTTTTTGGCACCTACATCATCCAGCTCTACACACCGCTCAACTGGTTTGGCACCTACTACAGGTAACATGCAGCTGTGGGGTGCCCTGTGCATGTGGGGCAGGGTGTGCTCCCCAAACCCTTCTTCTGGTCTCTTTCCCCTTCCAGGATGATCCAGAACTCCTTTGTGGACATGGAGAACATGTTTGAGCTCTTCCATGAGGAGCAAGAGGTGGGTGCCCTCCTCCTGACCCCACTGCCTGGCATGGCCTGCCACTGAGGCCACATCTCCATCCATCAGGTGAAGGATGCAGTGAATGCCAGGGAGCTGCACTTGGAGGCTGGGCGCATCGAGTTTGAGAATGTGCATTTCAGTTATATTGATGGGTATGGGACGGCAGAAGGGAAAGGGCCTGGATATGGGGGTTGGTACCAGGATGTGGGGCAGGGGAAATGGCCCCAAACCTTTCTCCATCTCTGTCATCTCCATCTCCACCTCCATCTCGCTCCCTAGGAAGGAAATCCTGCAGGACATCTCCTTCTCTGTGATGCCTGGGCAGACCCTGGCCCTGGTGAGAGCTGTGGGATGGAATGCGGGCAGAGGGGCTGGCAAGGATGGGCTGTGACAATCTTCTTTGTCCAGCGCAGTTTGTCCTTGCCCAGCAGCCAGGGGCACTTTGGCATCTCCAAATAAATCCTTTTACCTTTGGTGCAGGTTGGGCCTTCGGGCTCAGGTAAGAGCACCATTATCCGCCTGCTCTTCCGCTTCTACGACGTGCGGGGTGGCTGCATCCGCATCGACAGGCAGGACATCTCCCAGGTATGGGCACTGTGGGGCTGGGAGGGCACAAGGGGGGTGGGGGATGGCTGAGCCTCACCCCCCTGAACCCCCACCCACCAGGTGAAGCAGGCGTCATTGCGTGCCCACATCGGGGTGGTGCCTCAGGACACTGTGCTCTTCAATGACACCATCGCCAACAACATCCGCTACGGGCGGGTGCAGGCCACTGATGAGGAGGTGCAGGAGGCGGCGCGGGCCGCCGACATCCATGACCGCATCCTCTCCTTCCCTGATGGTGAGACCCTGCAGCCCCTTCCTGGCTCCGTGGCAGCCCACTGGGGGCCACGAGGTGACATCCCACCTGGAGACACCCATGCAACCTCATGCCCTTGCCATCTCCAGGGCAGAATGAGCCCCTGGGCAGGGGAAGTCCCACGCAGCGCAGCCCCGGTCCCCATCCCTGTTCTGGATGGGACCGGCACAGCGTGTGCCTGTCCTTGTGCCTGCAGGGTACAGCACCCAGGTGGGGGAGCGGGGGCTGAAGCTGAGCGGGGGGGAGAAGCAGCGTGTGGCCATTGCCCGCACCATCCTGAAGGGCCCCCGCATCATTCTTCTGGACGAGGTAATGGCACTAACCCCCCCTAGCAGCATCCCCCCTCCCACATCTGCTGGCTGCCCATGTCCTTCTCTCGCAGGCCACCTCTGCGCTGGACACGGAGACTGAGAGGAACATCCAGGCCTCCTTGGCCAAGGTCTGCGCCCAGCGCACCAGCATCGTTGTGGCACACAGGTAGGGATGGACGGGGCTGGTCCAGCTCCCACAACCCTCCTGCAAGGGTTGGCAAGAGAGGGGCAAGCCCTGCAGCCATGCTGCAGCATCCTCTGATGCAGTGTCAAGAGCTGGCTGCTATCTGCAGGGACTCTCCTTGCACCCAGCACACTCCTCATGCTGTGCAAACCCCTTTTTGCATGCAGACTCTCTACCATTGTGGGTGCAGACCAGATTCTGGTGCTCAAAGATGGGCGCATCGCTGAACGCGGGAGGTGAGTAGGGGGGCTTGGTGCCGCCCATCCATGGAGTCTTCCAGGGCAACCCACAGCCCCCTCTACCCCCACAGGCATGAGGAGCTGCTGCAGAAGGGAGGTATCTATGCCAGCATGTGGCTGCAGCAGCAGGTGGGGGAAGAGGGCGAGAGCAAGGAGCAGCACACTGAGAAGCCCCCCAGCAGCAAGAAGGAGCCATGAGTGCAGCCGGGTGTGACCAAGGGATGGGGCACCCATGGTTGGTGCTGAGACCCCACTGCTGGCTGCGGCTACCTGTGTGTGTTGGGAGCTGCAGGGCCCAGCCTGGACACTCCGTTTGTACCTGTTTGTTCTGCTGTGGAGTAGTTTCTTAAACCAGGTCCTTCTCAGCTCTGTGCTGTGTGCTCTGGACAGGGGGTGCGCCTGTGGGATGGCCCTGGGGAGGGAGCTGTGGGCCTCAGGGACCCCAGCAGAAGGGTACAGCTCCAATACACCATTCCTCAAAGCCACCATGTACCTTGGCCATGCCTTTATTTTCTCCCAAGCAGCACTTTGACACAAAAGCACTCCCTCACCCCAACCTGAGCGCACCACCATCCCCTGGTGGGCACTGCCCACAGATTCCCCTTTGGGCTCCTCCTGAGGAGATGGCCCAACCTGCAGTCGCTGTGCTCAGCTTGTGCTCAGTCACCCTGCAGCTCCCACCTCTCCAGGAGCATGCTGCACCGCCTGCATGCGGGATGAGACGTTGGCATGCGCTCTGTGGCTTGCTTAGAGCCCTGGGGAGATCAGGTGGCTCCTGGTGGCACTCAGGCCAGGACCCCACAGCATCCACATGCGGTGCCACGGCTGCTCCTTGTGCCACGAGCAGGATGCCACATCTACTGGCACAGCCCCTACGTGCCTATGACATGCTGCAGTTGGATGGCTTTGAGCCTTGTCCCTGGCAGGGGAGAGAGCATGCAGTGAGCAAGGTAAGGTGACATCTTCCTCAGCCCTGCGTGGTCCCTGGGAAGCAGAAATGGGGGAGTAGAAATGGGGGTGGCCAGACTCAGCCTGCTTACCTGCTTCTGCAGCTGCTGGTACTCAGCCTCACTCGCTGATAGTGCCTGCGCCAGTGCCAGGTCCTCCTCCTCCTGTGTGCTGCAGGGACAGTGGCGCACTGTGTGCCTGGCACCCCATGTGCCCTCCCTCCTATGTCCCCGAGGCAGCAGAGGGCAGGGGGGCTGCCTGCATGCCCACGCTCCATTTAGCAGCACCGAGCAGTGTGCCCATGAGCTGCTGGCTGCCACCTGCAGATATGGCTGTGCCTGTCAGTGCCAAGCAGTCAGGAAGCAGCATGTCCCCCCTGCACTGCCTGGCACAGTCCCCAACCAGAAGTGGGCTCAGCTGCAGCTCTGGGCTCTTCCCTTTTCCCCAGCACCTTGCAGAGCAGGGCCACCATGTGCAGCCCCGTGCTGTGGGTAGCATCACCCCAGGCCACACAAGCCAGGCGTGCACGAGGGTGGCACCATGTGCCCCAGTTGTACCTGGGTGGCTGCGCCGAGCCACGTGCCGACTCTGCCAGGGACATCTCCAGTGCCCGCTGCAGCGCCTCCTCCTCACTCTGCAACAAAGCCCCTTGTCAGCAGCCATGGCTGCCCCTGCCCAGGCTGGGAGCTAAGGCAGCAAGAGGCAGCCCCTGTCCTCCTCCATCCTCTGCTCAGCCCCTCTGGTGCTGACAGCCCCCAAAGCACAGGGCCCCCCACACTCACCAGCCCGTTCTGCAGTATGGCAGCTGGCGGGGAGGTGCTGCGGACCTGGGGCACAGCTTCTCCTACACCTCTGCAGACAACAGAGAGAAGCTGGGTGATGCCACAGAGCTGTTGCCCATCAGGTATGAGCAGCAGGGCTGGCACCTACCTGGCAGGGGGAAGATAGGGAGGGGTCCCTGCAGGCTGGGCAGTGCTACTCGATGTGTTGCTGGCTTGTGGGGGGGATGCCTGGGCCCTGGCAAGCGCAGCATGCCTGGGGAAGGGAGCGTGTGCTGGGGGTGAGCAGGTGGCATCCCATGCACAGGGCCGGGGCAGTGGGAGCTCCATTCTGATTCTCACCCCGCTTTAGAGAGGGGCCTCCCAGCCCCAGTGCAGTCGTGGTCCAGTGGGTGCCGATGCTTCAGGCAGTAGTTCTTGTGGCACTGCTCGCAGATCACCTTCATCATCTCCTTCTGCTTGCAGCCGGGCTTCAAGCATTTGTTGGTGAAGATCTACAAGCGGTGGTGGCACTGAGCAGGGACCCGCATGCCCCGGCAGAGCCTTCCCCAACCCCCTCCCCAGAACTCGGATCTCCCAGCCGAGGGTCCTGGGGTTCCCACCTTGCGCTGGCGCTGCGCGGGGTCGGATCTGCAGTCGCGATCGATGTGCTCTCCCACCACCACGTCGGGCATCTCGCCTCGCCGCACGGGCACCGGCGTGTTGCACAGCGGGCACACGGGCACCTGCACGTCCTGCGGGCACGGGAGAGCGGCAGGAGCGCCGGGCTTCGGGATGCGGGACTTCGGGATGCGGGGCTTCGGGGGGGGCGGCTCACCTTCTTGTAGGCGGAGGTGCACTCGTGTTGGGCGTACGCGACGTGGTCGGTGCAGAAGATCCGCTCGCAGGCGTCGCACTTGAGGGGCAGGAAATCTGCGGGACGCAAGGTCGGCGCTCAGCCCCGCACCTCCCGCACGGCCCTCACCCCGCCGCGCCCGGGCCGGCGCTCACGGCCGCGGCTCCGCCCCGCGCTACAGCCGAGCCCCGCGGCCCCCGGCCCTCACCCAGGCGCTGGCAGGCGGCCCACGAGCAGTGAGCCCCCAGGTCCGGGAATTCCATGGCGGCCCGTCTCCCGGCCGCCCGCGCCGCGCCCGTTTCCGTCCCGGCGTCACGCGGGGCGGGGACGCGGCCGGCACCTCCCCCGCGGCGGTCACGGGGCGGCCCGCGGAGCCGACGGCGCCCGGAGGACGACGCCTCTTTTCCGCCTTCTCTTCTCCTCCCGTTCTTCTTCGCCCCGCCGCCGGCAATGCACCGGGCTCCCCGCATTCCTCCCGCTCCGGATCCCCCGTCCGGTCCGCGGGCGAGCTTGGCGGAGCCCCCGGCGGCCCAAACCAGAGGCAGCCCCCCACTGTTCACGGCTGCGAACCCGGAGAGCCGGGCGGGGGGGGGACGCTACGTCATGCCCGGCCGTGCTGCGTGCTGATCTCGGATCTTCTCGTGCTAAGAGACGTGTCCCCCCCACACCCGTCGCCTTCCCCTGTCCCAGCAGTGAGGGACGGACTCCTGCCTCCCTCCGCAGCCGTTGAGCGCATACGAAGCGCTGACCCGCCGCCGTGTAACAGAGCTCCCAGCTCTCTTCGAGGTGCTTCGAAGTCTTCCGATGCCCCGCCGCCATTCCCAATAGGGGCAGAGCCCGAGGGCTGTTCGGCCCCCTGGCAGCCTGCAATTCAAGGGAAGTGCGGCACGGCCCCGGCAGGAAGACGCGCAGAACAGGGCCAGGAGTGAAATTCATTGATTGCAAAAACTCCACAGCCACTCAGTAGCACAACTCCAACCAGACAGGGAAAGACGGATATCGCCCAATACCGTGTTCCAGCAGCCACGTGAAAGATGCCGACGGGTTGCAGAAAGGGGCTCTTTGTTGCTCAGGACCCATCTGCTCGTGTCCCCTCACTCCCTCCCTCCCCCAGCCTACCCCCTGCCCCCAGAGCTGTGTCTGACTGCGCTCCCCTCCCCACCCCACCCCCAAACGAGACCGATGAAAGTTAAAATTATTTACACTTTTAGCCATTTAAAAACCCAATAAAATAAGATTGCATATGTCCTACTGGGGATTTGGGTATTAGCAGCAGCTACAGCTAGCTCGGTACTCGGCGTGCAAAACGAAAGACAACAGAAGACAGACCAAAATACCGCACCATTACTAGGAAGCGTTTGCAGGGGTTGGTGCTCCACTGTGGCGTAAGGCTTCCAGGAGCCGGCTCCTCCCCAGCGGCGGGGCAGGGCCGTCCCCCGCTCAGCCAGCAGAGGCCGGGCTCTAGAAGGATGGAAAGGATTTGTTATTCCAAACACTGCACATTAACACTGACGCGTTTCCATCCCAGTCAACAGACATCTAAAACCCGCTGCGCGTTCGCCACGTGAGTTCTTCCTTCTTTCCAGTGACGACGGAGATCGAAGGGGTGCACGAAGAAGACCTAAGACATAGATGCTGCTGTCATCGCTGCCTCTTCCTCATCTTCTTGCTTTGGCAGCTCAGCAAGCGCGGGAGAGGGGGAAGGCGGAGCCGGAGTGGCAGGAGACTCTTGCCCTTCCTGCTCCTCCCCAAGGCCCAGCTCTACATCCATTTGCTCCAGCTCCCTCTGATCCAGTAGCTCAAAGTCATCGGCTTCCTCCTCGTCCTCTGGTGAAGCTGCTGCCTCTGCCTCCACCACTTCGCTCCCTGACAGCTGTGCTTGGAAGCTCAGTTTCTCTTCGGGCTCGGTGGGGAGGAACTCAGAGAGGGAGGGTCCCTCGCTGGCCTCTGAGGACCGCAGAAGGGCAGAGAGGGTGTTCTGCACCGCTGTGGTAATGGCAGTGGTGACGATCTCTTCGCTCAGCGTGTCGATGCAGATGCCCATGCCTGGTGCAGGGACAGCCTCTGGCTCCATGCTGCCTCCTGCCACCTGCCCACTCCCGTTGAAGTGCGTATTTACAAAATGGAGAGGAGACGCTAAGCGAAGGATGGAGAGGTCAGAGTCCGCAGCCTCCTTCTCTGCTGAGTCCAGCTCACGGGCAGCATGGGCTAGCTCAGGACCCAGAGGCACACCAAATGCATCTTCATCACTCTGTGGTCCCAGATCTCTGGAATGGTATTCTTCCACGGAGGGAAACTCTGCCAGGTCTTTGGAAAATGACTCCTCTGGCTCACTGTGCAGGCTCTGCTGATCCAGGTCTGGAAGGCACCAGCATTAACATCAACATTAAGGCACGGGTTACCTCGCCTCGGCCCAGAGTGCTGACATCTCCCATCCAGTTTCTCCCAGCTGACACACCATTGCTCTCTTCTAGGTCTTCTCCCAGTTTTGGGAGCACAGGCATTTGTAGTTATTCCCTTCTCCCAGTGGCACTACTCACCTAGTGTTCCCTTTCCTATTCTGCCTTATACACTCTGTGCTCTGAGAAAACCAACCTTCCTTTGTTCTCACTGCTCATAGCACTCCCTCTCTGCCTGTTCCTCCCCAAACACTCAAGCGACCACATCGCAGCAATTATCTTTACACTCCACACAACTGACTGAGCTTGTCAGTTGAAGTGGAAATGCTAAGTCACGGCTCGGAACAGTGATTCCCCTGGTGGGAAGGCAGGACCAACCCAGGGCAGCTCAGGTGCATGCAATG